TTCATTCCTTCATTCATTCATTCATTCATTCATTCATTCATTCATTCATTCATTCATTCCTTCATTTCCTTCCTTCCTTCCTTCGTTCATTCATTCCTTCATTCATTCATTCCTTCATTCATTCATTCATTCATTCCTTCATTTCCCTCCTTCCTTCCTTCGTTCATTCATGCATTCATTTATTCATTCCCTTCGTTCATTCATGCATTCATTCCCTTCCTTCATTCATTCATTCATTTCCTTCCTTCCTTCATTCATTCATTCATTCATTCCCTTCTTCCTTCATTCATTCATTCCCTTCTTCGTTCATTCATGCATTAATTTATTCATTCCCTTCCTTCCTTCCTTCCTTCCTTCATTCCTTCATTCATTCATTCATTCATTCATTCATTCATTCCTTCATTTCCTTCCTTCCTTCCTTCGTTCATTCATTCCTTCATTCATTCATTCATTCATTCCTTCATTTCCTTCCTTCCTTCCTTCGTTCATTCATTCCTTCATTCATTCATTCCTTCATTCATTCATTCATTCATTCATTCATTCCTTCATTTCCTTCCTTCCTTCCTTCGTTCATTCATGCATTCATTTATTCATTCCCTTCGTTCATTCATGCATTCATTTATTCATTCCCTTCGTTCATTCATGCATTCATTCCCTTCCTTCATTCATTCATTCATTCATTCATTCCCTTCTTCCTTCATTCATTCATTCCCTTCTTCGTTCATTCATGCATTAATTTATTCATTCCCTTCCTTCCTTCCTTCCTTCCTTCCTTCCTTCCTTCCTTCCTTCCTTCCTTCCTTCCTTCCTTCCTTCCTCCATTTATTCATTCATTCATTCCTTCCTTAATTTATTCATTCATTCATTCATTCTCATTCCCTTCCTTCTTTCCTTTATTCCTTTCCTCCTTCCTTCCGTCCTTCCTTCCGTCTGTCCTTCCTTCTTTCCTTCATCCATTTAATCATTTATTTATTCATTCCTTCCTTCATTCATTCACTCATTCATTCCCTTCCTTTCTTCCTTCCTTCCTTCCTTCCTTCCTTCCTTCCTTCCTTCCTTCCTTCATTCATTTCCTTCCTTCCTTCATTCCTTCATTCATTCATTCCGTTCTTCGTTCATTCATGCATTCATTTATTCATTCCCTTCCTTCCTTCCTTCCTTCCTTCCTTCCTTCCTTCCTTCCTCCATTTATTCATTCATTCATTCCTTCCTTAATTTATTCATTCATTCATTCTCATTCCCTTCCTTCTTTCCTTTATTCCTTTCCTCCTTCCTTCCGTCCTTCCTTCCGTCCGTCCTTCCTTCTTTCCTTCATCCATTTATTCATTCATTCCTTCCTTCATTCATTCACTCATTCATTCCCTTCCTTCCTTCCTTCCTTCCTTCCTTCCTTCCTTCCTTCCTTCCTTCCTTCCTTCCTTCCTTCCTTCCTTCTCTATAAATCCTAATAAGGTCTTTCTTTGTACTAATCTGGAAAGGGACCCTTAAGGGTTGATGATGTAACATCTGGATGACCTCTGACCTCCTCTCCTTCTTAATTAATGTCTGCTGCTCCTTTTCTTCACTACAGTCCTTAACGAGCTTCACTAATTAAAACATGCTGCCTCTGTCACTTTGCTTATCATCAGACTGAGTTCCCCCCTTCCTTCATCTCGCCTCAGTCCTTCTCACCTGTAGTTACCATGGTAACAGCAGCATCCTCTAAATCAAGGCCGTCGGGTTTTGCAGAAGCTTTTTCAAAAACAGGATCAGGTCAGAGCTGAAGCAGCAGCAGCTCCTGATTCTGTCTGTTGACCCTCAGAGTTTAGCTGTTTCCTGACTGACAGGCTGATGATTCGCTCCGCCGGCTCGCGGCGACTCGTTTAAGGCAAGCGTCGTGTCTCAGATCGTTCTGGTTTAAACTTGACCTCCTGACCGCCGACTCAGCAGCTCCATGACAGGCCAATAAAACCAGGCAGGAAGCCACCACCTGACAGCCGGGCTGCAGCTCAAAAGCTCAGGCATTCCTCTTATCAACCCGCAAAAAATATGACCATTCAACTAATATCATCTTTGTCTTTAGCTAAAAAAACAAGTAAGATAATCATCCTTTTTGAAGAGTTAAAGTGTTTAATGGAAATAGTCCTCAGATTTTCACTCATCCCAGAATTTTTTCAAACTGTGAATTTATCTGGAGTCAATGAGCAAACGATTCATCATTTCTTTTCTGAAAAATTTATATTCCAAGGATTTTATTTCAGCTGAAAAACATTCAAACAGGAACAGTTTTGTTTCTGTGTAAATAATTTATTATTTTGAAAAGTAAAAGGCCAATAATCTTACTAAAAACAGATTAGTTTTTTAATGAAAAGTATCTTATTTCTAATATATTATTTCCAAACAGACCTTTCAGAATCAATGGAAGATATTTTTTTCATGATCCCATAAACAGAAAACATTCAAATAGATGAAAACATTCTCCTTTAAATATTAAGCTGAAATAAACTAAAATATCTGGGTCACATGCAAGGAAGTTAGACGCAAAGCAGAACACTTTAAAATAAATGTAAAAAACAAAAAATATTAAATTCAGATCAATTCAATTTTTTCTTATTAATCCAAAAGGGACAATAAATAAAACAAATTTAACTTTTTTCAGGGTTTGGTTGAGGTTTTCAGGACCCAAATGCAGAGGTGAGTTCTTGTAGTTTTAATGGAGTTATCACAGGTAACAGAGTCAGGATTCCAGAAATAAAACATGAAAATGCAAAACAATCCAGAACCATGGAGACATCTGGGAAAACGAGCACAAGGATCCGAGGAATAACGAGGAAGCAGCACTGAGGAACTCCACAGGGAGAGTATATATGGGAGACTGAACAAAGACAGGAATAATGAGCTAATTGGGAGCAGGTGAGAAGAGAGGAGTCTAGAAAGGAGCTAGAGAGAAACAGACCAACACAAGAGGGCAAGCAAGAAATACCGAAAAACTCAAATATAGCCTGAAAACACCAATAAAGCTAGAAAACAAAGAAAAACATGGATCAACGTTAAACTGAAAACTCACCGAAAACTTAACCGAACCAAGACCGTAACTTTGAGAAGCTTTTAAAGTCGTAGGGAAGTCATATTCAGAGTTCAAATCATTCTGGCTTAAACATGTAAATAAATGTACTCTTTATCAGACAATTTCTTTTTTTTTTATCCAGTCTTAAAATCTGTTTTTTTTTTCTTTCCGTTATCTTCTGCAGGCCAGTTAGTTCTACGTCAGCCTGAACACCTAAATTCGGCCAATCATGTATCAACGGTCATCTGTCAATCAAATGTTTTCGGTCATAGCATCTTGATTCATGTGTCGCAGCTAATATACGCAACGGTTGAAATCAGAATCCTTTCCTTTCCCATTGAGTTGCGTCCCAGTGTTCACGGGGATGGACGTCTGTGTCTTCAGCAGGCGTAGAGCTAACAGAACTGGCAGCGTTGCGAGGCAAGGGCTCAAACACGTACGGCTGGAAGCCTTCTACACCAAACCAAGCTTCTGCCGCCCTGGCGTCCTCTTCCACAACATCTTCGTCCCCGCTTTCCTCCTCTAAATAAAAAATGGATGACGGAGGAGACTCATCCACGACCTCCGACACTAAACTCTCCTCCTCTTGCATGTTTCCTCTGTCCATAGCGTTCCTTGACAGAGCCGTTTCTAAGGCTACATTCACACTGCAGCCTAAAGTGACCAATTCCGATTTTTTTGCCCATATGTGACCTGTATCTGATCTTTTTATGACAGTCTGAACAACACAGATCGGATTTTTTCAAATGCGACCCAGGCCACTTGGATATGTGGTCCTGAATCCGATACGTATCTGATATTTTCAAATGCGACCTGTGTACGGCCAGGTGGCATTCATCCAACCTACACGTCATTGATACTTGACAAATGTTACTAAACGTTACTAATCTGCGTCCTACTAAGCGGAGGCGAGAAAAACTAACCACCATGGCGGAAGATAACACAGAGAGCAGTCAATGGAGAGAAAGTGACGTTGCTGACTTAATTCATATTTGGAAAGATAGCTCGATTCAGACCAAACCGGAACCTGGCTCTCTTTCTTTTTGATCTTCTTAAAAAGATTTTGTTCGTATTGTGCCTGCTCCTGTTGGAGAAGAACTAAAAGAACGCAATATACGCTGCGGTATTACGAGTCATGTTTACTTCCGCAAACACTTGCTACATGTGACGTCGGTTGAACGCTTTCAGTTCACACAGTAGATCACATACAGGTCGCATATACTTGGAAGTATGAACGGACACGCAAAAAAATCCGATTTCACAAAAAAATCGGAATTGAGCATTAAGGCCTGCAGTGTGAACGTAGCCTAAGTCACCAATTTAGTGCTACTTGGTCCCAATGGAATTTCCCATTGGGAACCTGCTAGCACTAAGATGCTCACTGGTTAGCAACATGCTTCCGACAAACCGGCCACAACCAAACTTGCTTGCGAACCATCCTCCATAACAACCCCGCCCCCTTGATAATCGACTAATCACATTCATTTTATTTACTCGCGTAAAGTCGGGCACCACTCGGGAGAATTCGGAAATGCAACGGTTGGAACGGCCCCTTCCCTACGACTTTAAAGAAGAAAAGTTTTTTTTTTTTTTTTCTAAATTCTTATTGTGTTTTTTAAAAGATCATCTATTTCTAAATGTTGAATTATCAGAACCGACCTGATATGTGCTTGATTATACCTTCAGTTTATCTATCAGCGTCTTTGATGCTGACTCATCATCATCCCTTTTCTCACCTCATAAAGAAAGTTTGAGGTCTGCTGATGGTCGGCTACCTTCGCTAAGACACCTTTACTGTCGTCCTTTTGGAATTTTATTGATCCAGATTCGTTCTAGATTCATATAAATCACTAAATCTTCAGTAGATTTGTTGTATTCTAAATGTTTTAGGATAAATCAAAGTTCTTTCCTTAATCTTACCTACCTATATCTGGTTCCTCCTCTCCGTCCTCAGGTCCGGGTGATGGTGCGAATCTGCTCGTCCGACAGCTGCGAGTCCTCCGAGTCCATGTCCTTCCTGAAGGTGGACGGCAGGAAAAAGCAGCTGACTCTGATCGAAACCTCCAACGGCGGGAACTCAGCGTCCTGTCAGAGACGATCGTCTGCCTCGGCACCAAAGACCTTCACCTTTGACGCCGTCTTTACTCAGGATGCCTCACAGGTGGGGGAAACCTCTAAAACTTCCCTTCATTTCCAAACAACAGAATCTACGGAAGAAGATTAGGGCCACTAAAAAGTTTTAAATATTATAACTTTTTCTCAGAATTCAGATTTTTTTTCTTAGAATTCTGACTGAATTCTGACAGCTAACAGACATGTTAGCATCAAGCTGTAGCCATGTCTGTTTTAGAGACTAAACCAGCCATGGGCGTAGGTTTGCATAGGGATCATAGGGACATGTCCCTACCAAAATTTTGGACCGACCTATTTGTCCCCACCAATAATTCGATTTGAATAAAATGTTTACAATTTACAATTTAGCGTTCTTTCTGAGTACTGCCCGGTCTTTCCTGTCCCAGCTCCACTCTCATTGGTTGTTCTGCCTCAAGTTCCGCCTTTCTTTCTTCCTGATTGGCTGTTTTCTAGTCTGTATGCCTGTGTGCGTGCTTGAAGCACGAAATAAGAATTTTATTCACCTAGTTTCTTCAATTTATATTAGGCTATGAAACTAGTCCTAATGAAAACAAAAAAAACTTAATTCTATCTACACTAAAACAGGTGAAAGCTGCTGATTGCTGATTCTTAGAAAATGTGAGGGTTTCTCTTTTAACAATAATTCATTGCAATTACTGTTTTCATTTTATGAAAATACCCTTTGAGGCAGTTCAGCTATAAATAGCATCTGTTACAACACGAGATGGTGTAATATTTTCTTTTAATAATTGTTAAAAGTAATTTTATATTGGAATAAATTTAGTCCCATTATCAGTGTCGTGTTTTGTAGGTGATGCCACTAAATGTAAATAAAATAAATGTATTTGCAGTCCCTTCAATGTGTTAATTCTGCGTTGGTTCGTGATTATGGAGGATAAAAAGTGCCAAAGTTAAATAAATAAATACAGCATTAAATAAATTATTAAATGTGTCAATAATTAATTAAATGTGGAATTAAATAAATAAATGTGTCATTCATTAATTAAAACCATGTCACTAATATAAAGTGCCACAATTAAATAAATAAATACAGCGATAAACAATTAATTGAATGTGTAATTCATTAAATAAATATAGAATTAAATATATAAATGTGTCATTAATTTAATAAAATACGTCTTCATTTTATTTAAAAAATATAAAAGAATCTGTCAAACTCACCCATCAAAGTTAGGGGGCGGGTATCTAACACCTGATTGGTCACCCTGCACTTTAAGGCGAAGCAAATTGATTACAGAGACTCGATTCGCGTTAACCCCGCCCCCTAACTTTGATGGGTCAGTTTGACAGATTCTTTTAATGGTTTCGATGCACTGCGACACAGGACCATGAAATAATTAAATGCATACTGAAATAATTATATATATTTTTTTAATAAAATGAAGACGTATTTTATTAAATTAATGACACATTTATATATTTAATTCCTTATTTATTTAATGAATTACACATTTAACTAATTGTTTATCGCTGGATTTATTTATTTAATTGTGGCACTTTATATTAGTGACGTGGTTTTAATTAATGAATGACACATTTATTTATTTAATTCCACATTTAATTAATTATTGACACATTTAATTATTTATTTAATGCTGTATTTATTTATCTAATTTTGGCACTTTTTATCCTCCATACATGATACAGAGAGAGTATTTAATCAGGTGTGTTTCACCTGTTTACCTTTGCACAGTTTTGTATCTTCAAAAGAAAATACAGGATAAATTCACATATAACGGGCATATTTAGACCTGGTTAAACTGGCACATATTTGCCTACTTCTTAGTCACCGGTAAGTTTAAATGCAAACCTTTTCGAAGTGAAAAAAAAGTCCTAATTCCACATTGATCAGACCAGGTGAGCTTCAGTCATTGATAAACAACATCTAGTGTGTGTAGTGCTTATAAAATTAGTATATGCAGGAAACCTGTTGTGCACATGAAACTATTTGCCATGGCTTTAACAGTAGGAACTCTGTGTTTAGGAACTCGTTTTTTTTCATTGGTGGTTCAGTGGTAGAATTCTCGCCTGCCACGCGGGGGCCAGTCGCGTAAATGTGTAAAACGCTGACAGGCTGAAAAAATTTGATGTGGGTTCAAATCCCGGTCTTGGTATGGACCTATATTGATTAACCTAACCTTTTCTGTTTGTTATGAGGCCGGGTTCATTTCCCGGCCAATGCACCATTTATGGAAGCTCATTGGTAGAATTTCCTTATGACAGAAAGAAGGCCACGATTCACACCATTTTATCATCCGGAGGGGGGACACTTTTAATTACAAACCGAATTCATACAGCTGTCTTAAACACTTCATACATCCAGCAACGCATTGTCAAAAATCCTGTTGTCCCCCAACCTTCAGTCGATCTCAAGCTGCATTTATAGTTTCCACATCGCATTAGGTAACTGCACATGCACAGGATATCATGTCGAAAGCTTACTGTAATTCACGTGGGCTGGTCTGCGTCAAAGTCACTCCGACCCTCAAAGAATGTTTATACAGATGTTCTCTGTTTTGCCAAACCTCCTCATACATCATCTAATTGCGTATGAATAAGGCATTAGGGACTTTATTATTGCTAAGACTCATACTGTACTTGAACTTCAACATGTACTGTTTTGTTGCTAAGTAAGTGTAGGGCCATGTGTACGGATATATTCTGATTCTGATCTGATATAAGACAATAAAACTGCTTCTACAAAATGTAGCAAGAAATGCTGCTTTTCTCTTTAAACGAAATGCCCCCTGATGCTCACGCCAAGCATTAAAAAAGCATGCATATTTTTGCATAGGTAAAATTATATTAATGAAACTTAGGACCCATAGTGTCCATACCAAAGTGGAAATCAAACCTACGCCCTTGAAACCAGCTCTCTTGTTTTAATCACCTTCTGCTCTTCCATTAATGAAATTGCATCACTGGGGACCCTTTGAACACATAAAAAGTCGTCTTATTCCATCATTTTCCACCAATTCCTCCAAAACAATTAAAATCTTTGTCAGTGAGTGCTCTCACATCTCTTCCCTTCGGGATGCCCTTTAAGATTAAGATCCAAAATTCTGAGATTAAAGTCAGAATTCCGACTTTTTTCCCATATTAAACTGAAATAATATATAAAAATCAGTTTGTTTGTTTTTTTCAATAGTCCTAATCCTCTTCCGTAAGAATCTGAGCATGACTTGATTGATTTGTTAACATTTAGATGTTTTTGTTTTTGGTGTGGGAAACTTTTAAGGATGCTCTAGAGTATCTGAATGTTGAAAACAGGAAGTGGAAATCTAAATGTAGGGCACAGAGCTGCAGTTTGAGCTCTTCATCATGGCTACAGCAGCCTGTTTATCCCTCAGAGACAGACGACAGCAGAAGATGCAGATCGAGGCCTGACTGATGTGACGTCTGATGTGAAGCTGCTGTGAGGAGCCGTCAGGAAGCAGCAGATAAATTTATCATACCTTTCATGCTGTTGAACATTGTGACTTTTTCACCTTTCCTCCCGGCGACAAGATCCATGCATATTAGACAGGCATAAAAAACACAAGCGCTGCATTGAATGATGACATAAACTAAACGAGAAAGCTAAATAATCCAATAGAGCTCAGCTGAAGCTCTGATTCCCAGCATGCAACATGTCAAACATCATGATGTTTCACAATCTGAACTCAAAACCACCTCGGAAAACCCAAAAAAAACAAGTTTATCCAAAGAAACTCTGGATTTCATTAACTTTGGTGAATTCAATTCAGTTTATTTCTATAGCGCCAATTCAGAACACAGTCTAGGGTGACTAGATGTCCTCTTTTTCCTGGACATGTCCTACTTTTCAGACCTAAAAAAATGTCCTGGGGGAATTTAAAAATCGTTCAGGATTTTGGTCGACTACAGAGCAACACGTAGTCGAAACAGGGAGCCAGTGAGGGACGGAGCGACCGAACCTGACTCTATTTTGTTGGTTTCAAAATAAAAAAAAGGACAAATGAAAGAATGACAGTTGGATTCTGAAGGTGCCTTGCTCCAGGGCACATGTACGCCTTATTTTGATAGGATTTGATGTTTAAAATTCAACCTGAATTCCTAGTCGGGTTATTTCAGCTGCAAAACAACGTTATTATAAAACAGAATTTATCCTAAGAAAACGTATCAGGACTCGAGTTTGTGACTCGTACTCGAGTCGCACTTAAGTTGCATATTTAATGACTTCAGATTCGACTGAGACTCGTGATTCCGACTTGTGAACAATATTTTATTTCTAAGTGTTTTTTGTTTTATTAACTTGACTGATCACAGCAGAGGTAAAAAAAAAAAAAAAAAACGGCAGAGGGGCTGTCAAACTGACATCGCTACGTGACATATACGCCCGCGCGCCCGCTGCTAAAACTATAACTTTATGCTCTAAATTTAAAGTATTTATATAATCCCTTTATATGCTTCTATTTATTATTACTATTTGTACTTTTATTTATTTACTTTTTATTTTTTTATTTTGCTCTAACCCCTGGTGATTGTTCATTGCAAATTGTTTATTTTTCTGTATTGTTAAACGTTTTCTAAAAAAGTTTATTAGAAAAAAAAAAGACAAAGAAAAGAAATATGCCGCTTGTACGGAAGAGGATTAGGGCCACTGAAAAAAAAAACTAAAAGTTAACTGATTTTTACATTTTATATCAGTTTAACATGGGAAAAAGTCAGAATTCTGACTTTTTTCTCAGAATTCTGACTTTAATCTCAGAATTCTGACCTTTTTTCTCAGAATTCTGACTTTTTTCTCAGAATTCTGACTTTAATCTCAGAATTCTGAGAAAAAAAGTCAGAATTCTGAGATTAAAGTCAGAATTCTGACTTTTTTTCCTCAGAATTCTGAGATTAAAGTCAGAATTCTGACTTTTTTCTCATAATTCTGACTTTTTTCTCATAATTCTGACTTTTTTTCTCAGAATTCTGAGATTAAAGTCATAATTCTGACTGAATTCTGACAATAAAAACTGTCAGAATTCTGAGATTAAAGTCAGAATTCTGAGATTAAAGTCAGAATTCTAACTTTTTTTCTCAGAATTCTGACTTTAATCTCAGAATTCTGCTTATTTTCCCATACTAAACTGAAATAAAATGTAAAAATCAGTTAACTTTTTTTTTTTTTTTTCCACTGGCCCTAATCCTCTTCCGTACGCTTGTTATTTGCTTTGCCTGTGTTGTTTTTTATCTTGTACTTCCTTTATGTTTTAATGTATCATTTTCCTAGTATTGTCAAAGTCCTGAATAAAATAATAAAAAAAATAAAAAAATAAAAAAATATGCCCGCGCGCCCGTGCGCATGCATGCATGATTAACAAGCCACGCTTTAAAAACTTCATGGCAGTCGTAGAGGAGAAATATGTTGTGAATAATGTTGTGAATTGGCGCTAAATAAATAAACTGAATTGAATTTAAAATACTGCCCGCCAAGTCGGTTCTGTCTGTTCCAGGGCATTAAGTCACAAAAAGTTATTGCCACAATGTTTCTTTTATGAAAGAATGTTTATCATCCTGGTATTTATTTAGGCTTTTTCTTTATCTGTTGTAGTTGCTAACTTCATATGTATTAATAAAAAGCAGGATTGTGATTGTTTTTTTTTTTCCACAGCCCTCATTTTCACTTAAAAATAAAAGAGCAGACATTTACTCCTAAAACTACCCTTGATTTAAATAGGTTAATTTGATAATTTGTCAATGGAATGAGTATTTTTACCCTTAAAATAAGATAATTAGATAATATGCACTTGAAATAAGACAATAAAATTGTGTTTTCTTATTTTAAACCTACATTGTCTTGTTCCATTGGCAAAATGTCTCTTTAATCTCCTTAATTTAAGAACAATTGCACTTATTTTAAGAAAAAATGACTTATCTAGATTTTTTTCCAGTGTAACCACAAATGTCAGGTAAATACTGTAAGAAAATTGTTGTTTTTGAAAGAAAAAAGAATAAATATGCAAAATTTAACTGGAAAAAAATTAGCGTGTGCTTTTTTTAATTGTATTTTTCATTTACCAGTTTAAGATAATGATCATTCCATAGATATAATAGTGACCTTTAAGCTACACCGTCTCAGTGACGGAGATGAAAACACAAGGAGAAACAAGCAAGCACGAAAATTATTGCACTTATTTTAATTAATCAAGTGATTAGAATTTATTGTGCGATCAATTGATAATTGCGACAGGCCTTCTCAAGACTTGGACTTGCAAAAAATGACGTGTGAACATGTCTGTTTGAATGTGAGTGAAATAGCCTCCTGGGGCGTCACCTGTCTCTGGCTCCTGATAGGCTGAGGTGTGTTCGGGGACGGTGGCTGAGGTCATCCAGTCGGTGGTGAATGGAGCCGATGGCTGCATCTTCTGCTACGGACACGCCAACCTGGGTGGGTACTGCCCTCCGTTCTTTCACACAAACACAGAACATCTCAGGTAATTTCTGCATTGACTCCGCCCCCTGCAGGGAAGACGTACACCATGATTGGACGGGACTGCTCCACACAGAGTCTGGGCGTGGCCCCCACAGCCATCTCCTGGCTCTTCAAGGTGATCGAGGAGCGCAGAGAGAAATCCGGGGCCCGGTTCTCTGTCAGAGTGTCGGCGGTGGAGATCTCCGGTCGGGAGGAAACGCTCACTGATCTCCTGACTGAGCTCTCTTCCTCGGGAGGGGCCCAGCAGGAGGCCCCGGGGCCAGCCGTGTCCTTGAGGGAAGATCCTGTTTGTGGTTCCCAGGTACAGATAAAAGGAGGGAGGAACCTTTTTAATTTAGGAGGGATGTAGCAGTCTCTAAAATACCTTTAAGAAGCTTCACACGGCTTTATGATTTTAAGATTTTATTTAAGTTGATAAAGTTAAAACACCGTTTGATGAGCAGACTGACACCCCGGTTCAGCACCGATGCATCTATGAACATGTAGACTGAGTTATTTACTGCCACAGGTAGGAGTTTCAGCCGGGTATGATTTAGGGAGGGCCGAAATTGGCTGAAATTAGGACCGGCCCACCAGGCAAACGCCCGGTATCACAGATTAGCAGTCTGAGCCTGCATGTGACCCAAAGCGACGCTTTAAATCAGTCTAAACTCCTCTTAAATATGAAAGCTAACAATGCGCAGTTTCTGACCGATCCATTGAATGTATCTGTTGGGTTTTTAATCCAGAGAAATGTGAGTTTAAAAGATTAAAAGGAAAAGATCAACACAGAGACAGGGTTTTGTGACGTCAGTGTGTGCCGGGTGGAGAGAAGATCCTGGCTTGGAAAGCCATCACCTTCTCCCACAGATCCCTTCATGGCCAAGCCTTTTATTAACAGTTTACAACATCAAACAGGCGGGCCTAAAACAGAAGAGCCAGTAATCATTGTCTGGGAGGATGCAGGTAACAAGATAGTGTGAATTGACCAACTGGCTGGATGGAAGTCACACATCCGTGTGATTCTGCCTCATGACCTACAGGAGGTCATAAAAGTTTATGACCCTTCTGGTTGAAACACAGGATAGTGATCACTCTAACATTTCCCTCCTCTTATGCATAAAAACATCAGCATATAGCACTTCTAAAAAGATTTTCACTACATACATCATGAATGCATTGCAGATAGGGAATTCAGTAATCAAAGTTTAATATGCAAAACACAACAATATTAAAAGGAAAATTCAAGCACAAAGGTAAAAAAGAATGTAAAAACTTTAAAAATAATCTGTCCCTTGAGTAGGCAAAAACTCTCCAATAGAGAAAAAATTCCTACCCAGCCCCTCCCGAGGAGGCGACCATTATCCCTGTAAAAGATTACATAACTTCATCATCATCATTATCTTCATCAGCATCTCGGCGGAGTTGAGCATAATTGATAGCTGAATATTGGATTAGAGTGGTTCCTATCATTTTCTGAAACATTGATTGCAGGCATGGTATTAAGCAACAAATAAAAAGGAAAAATATGATTAACAATCCTATAAATGGTAAAGCTATCTTCATCAGTACCTGCCACCATGATCCCATGGTGAACCAAACTGTCCATGGTGCTGGAACTGCACCGGAAGTGTGACGGTTAACATACCTCTTTAGATCTTTCAATTCATATTGTATTCATAGAAGTAGGAATATGAGTATAAACATAACAGTCTGTTTTGTTCAAATCTTCAGCAACATGTTTTGCATGTTGCCACCACATCTTGGCACTGTAGGATGACTTGCTGTGGATCCATCAAAAATCATCCTGCTCTTCCTTTGTTTCAGACAGTCAGTTTGAGTTCCTAGGAACACCGGTCCAACAGTCATCACCGGGCAGCAAAACCACTTTGGTTTTTCAGATCTTTGCCAGTCCGTCCAAGGAAACACCCACTAACCGGACTCTAAAAGACTGGGTTAGGTTGTTCACTTCACCAGCGTTGAGACGAGTGGTCCTAAAAAAAAAAAAACCCCTTTGAAGCTGGACTTCACCACAGATCTATACCTTAGTCGTGGGGTCCCTGTGAAAGTAACTGGGCTTTTTTGCTGTGGAAAGTTTTTAATCAGTTTACAATGACTCTGGTGGATCCAAGTGTCTCTCTCCTGGATTTTCACGGCAGTGGGGGTTGTTAGTTGCACTATGTAGGGTCCTTCCCACCTCGGAGCTTTCCAAGTTTTCCTTTTGATGATTTTAATCAGCACTCGGTCTCCAGGCTTCAGGCCTTCCTGTGGGGAAACAAAAGGAGCACTAGGCAGATTACATGTTTTCCGAACAGTTTTGTCGCTGAAAAGCTTCAGCATCCACTTAGTTAGCGGGTCAATGTCATCTTGTTCGTTTTCTGCCCATGGCTTTCCTGTTTCTGCCATGAATTTTCTCAATCTATTTTTAACATCCTCGAACCATTTAACTGGGTTCTGTCTGGCTGGAGGTAAACCTCGACAGGCAGTCTGCATCTCTGCATCTGTCCATGGCCCACACACAAGAACAGTGGGTCCACAATCCAGTGGGTCACCATCTTGGGGTCCCGTGCGCTGACCACAATGAGGGTTGGCCACCTCCAACACCGGAAAAGCACATGCACCCCCCCAGGATCTTGGTCCTGTTCTTGTTTTTTTAATTCAGCCAATCTTGGATAAATAGGGGCAGATGGGCCCCTTCCACAAGCCTCCACTTGATAATCATCCCTGTAACACTTCGAATCAAGCTTCACATCCCCCCCTGATTTTCTTAATTCATGCTCACAAGGGTCAGGGGCACTGAGTTCCATACCATCCACAGAGGACGACACGGACAGGGGGCCTGCTCCTGCTCCTCCAATATCACCACACGATGGTGGGGCTACTGGAGGAGGAACAGCGGCATGGCTGTGTTCATATTCACCGTGATGGGGTTTATCTCCACCTTCCTGCGCAGCTGATGGCGCTGCTTGAACCCCATCACCCCCTTGAATTTGATTAGGGTCAGGATATTGAGGAAGCATACAGGATACAGCAGTTTCTTCATCAGCTTTAACTTTTACAGCAGCAATTGTAGCTGTCTTTCTATCCTTCTTCTGTTGTATTTGGCTTTCCCTATTTTTTGCTTGCATAATCCACTTATTTAACTCTTCTAATTCTTTTCTGTATTTAGCTTGTTTTCTTTTTGATTTATACACCAACTTCATCTCCACCTTCTGCTGAATCTTTGTCAGCGGCTCAACTCTCAACTTTCCATCCCAGCCCTCCTTCTCAATCCACTTTCTGGCAAACTCTGGGTCACCACCACAACACGCCACCATCCATCTAACATCATCTGGCATTTCCTTCTTACTACTACCTTGTCCCATTTTTAAAGAATTTAGTCCAGTACACAGCGGTTCGATTGTTTCCTCACACACTTTCACACAGTCACACACACCTAAGGCCTAATATTTTTTATTTTTTAACCAACATAGAGTCCCAGACTCGAATGCACAGAATACCCAGGTCCCAGACTTGTAAACAAAACTTGGTTTCGTCAAATATTCTTGCAACTACAACTAGTTATAGCTTTCACATGGTCCCAGACCAGCTTTTAATAAAAAACCTTAGGCGTACCGTTTCTGTGCAGATCAGTCCTCAGCTTGAGTCGTCACCAGGATGTCCAGGGCAGGGCTGGACCAACCTATTGGCTCTGTCCGGCAAAGGGTGGACGGCTGTCGATAGTTTCTTGGCCTTGGTCCCGCACGGTCCTGGACAATTGGATCTTGACTCCCGGAGTTTCGGCACCAAAAATGTTGGGTTTTTAATCCAGAGAAATGTGAGTTTAAAAGATTAAAAGGAAAAGATCAACACAGAGACAGGGTTTTGTGACGTCAGTGTGTGCCGGGTGGAGAGAAGATCCTGGCTTGGAAAGCCATCACCTTCTCCCACAGATCCCTTCATGGCCAAGCCTTTTATTAACAGTTTACAACATCAAACAGGCGGGCCTAAAACAGAAGAGCCAGTAATCATTGTCTGGGAGGATGCAGGTAACAAGATAGTGTGAATTGACCAACTGGCTGGATGGAAGTCACACATCCGTGTGATTCTGCCTCATGACCTACAGGAGGTCATAAAAGTTTATGACCCTTCTGGTTGAAACACAGGATAGTTATCACTCTAACAGTATCGCTGTCATGACAGACAAAAAAACAATAAAAAAACATAAAATGTCTAAAACTCATGGTGACATTGTGTTTCACTGAGACCTCAAGGACATTTTGTGTGGAGTCGCCTTTAAACTTACTGGGTTCTGCTTTTCTTTCTCCTCCCTCCACTTTTCTCTTTGACCTCCTCTTCACCTCCTGGGACTCCATCTCTTTCTGAAACTGTCCAATTAGTTTTGATCTTCCTTTTTACAGTTTCACCCTCTTTTATCTCCCCGGGTTCCTTCAGTCTGCCACATTTTATCTCCGTTCACTTTAATTTTCTTCTTCTTCTGTCACCGCGCTCTTTTCTCCACTCGTAGAGGCGTCCTTATTTTATCAAACCCCATTCTGTCTCATTTGGTCTTTTATCTCTCAGAGGTGGGGGAGGGCATTCGGCATCGAGTCGTAGATGGCTGGAAGATTCAGACGTGAAGTTTTAAAACTTAATTTCATCCAGAGTTCAGTTAAAGTCAGGTGTTGTTTAAAGATGGAGGAATCAGAGCAGAAAGAAGAAATGTTTAACCTGAATTCTATGTTTTAACATCCTTATTCCACAGTTTTATACTCTATTAATATAAGGAATATTCTAAATCTGCATTTTAAAGCTCTCTGTGTTTTAATTTCTTCGTCTTTCCATCAGCTTCAGAACCAGACGGAGCTCCGGGCCTCCAGCGCCGAGCGAGCGGCGTTCTTTTTGGACGCTGCTCTGGCAGAGAGGAGGAGCAGCCGGACCCCCGACGACCAAGACGCCCGAAGAAACTCACACTTCCTGTTTACGCTTCACCTCTACCAGGAGAGGGCGGACAAGAGCAACAAGGCAACAGGTTCGTGTCAAAAATCAGTCGATGATCTATTTATCTGAGCGTCAGAATCACAACTCCTGCATAAATGATCTAAAATATCAGGAATTTCTATTTAAAAAACAGGATCTTTCTTTTACTACTGGATGCATAGCGATACTTGGATCAAGTCTTCGCTGATTCCATATTATTTCTTTTTGACCAGGTTTTTTTTTTTTTTTTTTTAATCTGCTGTTTTTTTGCTCTTCAAATCAGGGTGGCAACTTTTTCAGAACTAGTTACGATCATTTCCTTTAGTTTTCTTAGGTTATGTTAAGGAAGAAAATATTCTAAAATAGTTACCTTTGGAAAAAAGTTTGGCTCTCTCTCTTCCTCTGTATCCCAGGTCCTCTCGGCGAGTTGCGTGTGGCCTCAGGGAAACCTGCAATGCGTGTTGACGTCATAGAATTACAGAGTTTAATCTATTATAAGACAATGCATAAACTTAGAAATAAGACAATGCACAAACTTACACCAGAAACTGCAGAACAACGGAGACATACATTCATTTACCTGACATAAATGGAGAGAAGGAAAGAAAGCAAAGACATACAAAGACATCTTTGGAGAGTTGCAAGAGCAAATCCGATTTGTTACTTCTGTGTAAAAAGTTTTATCCTCTTGTATTTAATTTATTCAAATAAGGCTGGCTTTTGCTCCTCCAACCAGGAGCTATCTCTGACACTCAGAAAAACTTAAAACTTCCCCTAATTTACGGCCTGGCGTCCAGGAATTCTAAGATCATCTGGCTAAGGAAAACATAAGATAAGATTTCACAGAATAGCTGTGGAATGCGGGGCCTCTTCCTGCCATAAATTCTCAGGAACAAATTTAAATTCTATAATTTGGTTCAAGGAAAGGTTATCTTCACAAACTTGTTCAAAATTAAGAAATATGTTCAACATGAGAGTGCTCAACATACCTTTTACACATGCCATAAGATTAACTGTATTAAAAACTAAAAATAATCATTTTTCTTTAACAGTTATTGCACAACGTTCTAATGTGTCAAACTTACTCCACACATGATGCTTCGACCTCCTTACTTAAGAATTGCACTGAAAAAAACATGTAGATATAAGTAAAAATGTCTTAAATTAAGTGTAATTAGATGATATGCCAATGGAATGAGAATTTTTTACTCTTAAATAAGATTAATAGAAAATATGCACTTTAAATAAGAGAATGTAATTGTGTTTTCTTATTTTAAATCTAAATGATCTTGTTCCATTGGCAAAATGTCTCTTTTATCTCCTCAATCCAAGAACAAATGCACTTATTTTAAGAAAAAATTACTCATCTAGATTTCCATTTTTTTTAAGTGTAGAAAAATGTTTTAACAGCCTTGGATGAAAAAAAATATATATTTAATTCACAGATTTGAGGCCTTTTTAACTGACTGTAGATCCAAACTGTAAATCTGACTTTAGTTGTTGTTTTTTCCAATAATGGCTTCTTCATTGCTGATTGGCCTTAAAGTCTGAGAGAGAGTTCAATCTAATCCCTGTTGTTAACATAAATATCAAATTTATTTTAAGTTAGAAATTTAAAGAAAACAAAAAACATCCAAAGGTTTTCTAGTATTTAAGCAGATTCAGAAAATAGGTTTTATTAGGCCTTATGTATAAATATACACTCACCGGCCACTTTATTAGGTACCCCATGCTAGTAACGGGTTGGACCCCCTTTTGCCTCCAGAACTGCCTCAATTCTTGGTGGCATAGATTCAACAAGGTGCTGGAAGCATTCCTCAGGGAGTTTGGTCCATATTAACATGATGGCATCACACAGTTGCCGCAGATTTGTCGGCTGCACATCCATGATGCGAATCTCCCGTTCCACCACATCCCAAAGATGCTCTATTGGATTGAGATCTGGTGACTGTGGAGGCCATTTGAGTACAGTGAACTCATTGTCATGTTCAAGAAACCAGTCTGAGATGATTCCAGCTTTATGACATGGCGCATTATCCTGCTGAAAGTAGCCATCAGAAGTTGGGTACATTGTGGTCATAAAGGGATGGACATGGTCAGCAACAATACTCAGGTAGGCTGTGGCGTTACAATGATGCTCAATTGGTACCAAGGGGCCCAAAGAGTGCCAAGAAAATATTCCCCACACCATGACACCACCACCACCAGCCTGAACCGTTGATACAAGGCAGGATGGATCCATGCTTTCATGTTGTAGACGCCAAATTCTGACCCTACCATCCGAATGTTGCAGCAGAAATCGAGACTCATCAGACCAGGCAACGTTTTTCCAATCTTCTATTGTCCAATTTCCATGAGCTTGTGCAAATTGTAGCCTCAGTTTCCTGTTCTTAGCTGAAAGGAGTGGCACCCGGTGTGGTCTTCTGCTGCTGTAGCCCATCTGCCTCAAAGTTCGACGTACTGTGCGTTCAGAGATGCTCTTCTGCCCACCTTGGTTGTAACGGGTGGTTATTTGAGTCACTGTTGCCCTTCTATCAGCTCCAACCAGTCTGGCCATTCTCCTCTGACCTCTGGCATCAACAAGGCATTTCCGCCCACAGAACTGCCGCTCACTGGATGTTTTTTCTTTTTCGGACCATTCTCTGTAAACCCTAGAGATGGTTGTGCGTGAAAATCCCAGTAGATCAGCAGTTTCTGAAATACTCAGACCAGCCCTTCTGGCACCAACAATCATGCCACGTTCAAAGTCACTCAAATCACCTTTCTTCCCCATACTGATGCTCGCTTTGAACTGCAGGAGATTGTCGTGACCATGTCTACATGCCTAAATGCACTGAGTTGCCGCCATGTGATTGGCTGCTTAGAAATTAAGTGTTACCGAGCACTTGGACAGGTGTACCTATTAAAGTGGCCGGTGAGTGTATGTGTAGAGATTGTATAGAACATTGTTGATTGATGATCACCCACATGTTTTAGCTATTCATGCTAATTATTCAGCCTGTTGGGGAGATCAATCTTCTAATAAATCCTACATTTCACTGTAGGCTTCATGGCAAATTAAAGCCTTTATTCCTTCAGCTTTTAGAGCATAAACCTTTTTTTATAGGAATCTGTTCTCTGAATCTAAATCTAAACACCTTTGCATATAATCAGTTAAAACAAGCAGAATGTCTCTTTGAAAGCCCCTCACAAAGCTTATGTTGAGACTTTGATAAACGATAAGATTTAATCTGAGACCTTAGAAGTGGGAATAAAGTCAGAAAACTGCAGATGAAAGTAAAATAAATCAGATCTTTTGGTTCACAGGGACTAAAAAACGAGATTCGTGAGAAACAGCAGACCCAGATTCTAAGCAGAAATAAACTCCTGTTATTCAGCAGCCTTTAAGCTCCTCTTCTGTCTGCTTTCCTAACATGTAGCTGCTAATTAGCTTCACGTTGCTCCAACAAGATCCGAGGATCGTCCCGCTGTCCACCTGGCAGAGACGTTTCCAGTTATCAGTGTTTTACTGCCTCTGTGTCTCTCCTGGAGCACATCAGCCCGGCTAATGAGGCCTGATGACTCGCGTCCTGCCGTGTTTATGGAGCGACCAGCGCTCAGCTGCTCTCAGCAGTTTTTTAGAATCCTGCTGATGCGAGCAGCTGAACTCTATACCCTCATTACTTTGAATTACTGAAATAAGCAGGCGGTTAAAAACGCTGCTGAATATTTATCAGAGCTGATTAGAGACATGAAAACAAGCAGTTTTCATCCAGAGGAGCAGCTCTGAAGATGATTTTATTGTAATCTATTGGGGATAAAATGCGGGTGTGTTGCTTTGATTGTGTTGAACTTCTGGACCTGCAAAAAATGTAAATCTAAGTAAGCAAATTTTTCTTAAAACAAGTGCATTTCTTCTTGAATTGAGCGGGTAAGTAAGACTATTTGCCAATGGAATAAGACAATTTACATTTAAAATAAGAAAAAAAAGACTATAGTCTCTTACTTCAAGCGCAAAATATCTAATTTATCTTATTTTAAGGGTAAAAATGCTCATTCCATTGGCAGATCATCTTATTTTCCTACTCAAATTTAAGGTAAATACACTTGTTTAAAGACATTTTTACTAAATTTCAGAACGTTTTTGCAGTAGACGTTAGTGGTCCAAACGGGTTCTTATAGCGTCGGACTGCACAAGAGAGCTGCACACATTTTTAAAGGCAAGGCAAGGCAAATTTATTTGTATAGCACAATTCAGTAGAAAGACAATGCAAAGTGCTTTACATGATTAAAATACAGGAAAAGGAGCATTAAGTGAAATTTCACCACCAGTTTCTCTCTGTCTGTCAACCAAACAACTTTCTATCAATATCAATAAAAGTTTTGCATGTTTGCATGTTCTCCCTAAGCATGCATGGGTTCACTCTGGGTACTCCGGCTTCCTCCCACAGTCCAAAAACATCACTGTTAGGTTAACTTGCTTCTCTTATTGTCCTTAGGTGTGAGTGTGAATGGTTGTGTGTGTCTGTGTTGCCCTGCGACAGCTTGGCGAACCGTCCAGAATGGAACCCGCCTCTCCTCAATAGACTCCTAGAGATAGACACCGGTGTTCTGTCCGATCTGGATACCCATTCAATACCCGTTTATCCCTTTAGTTTTGGATGAAAAATACACTTTAAACTACCTGAACAGGCGTGCATACTTTAGTCATGTAAAAAAAATAATTTAGTTGCTTCCTTTTTGGTGTTTTTTGAAGAGTATTGCGATTTGACCTTAATTTGTTTTTGTTTTTTTTATCATGACTAAAGGGATAAACGCCCGCTGAGGTAGTTTAAAGTGTATTTTTCTCACAAAATTAAAGGGATAAAAAGGGATAATCGCTTAACCTCCACCTCATTTTGCGAAATTCTCTTCTGTTCTGCATACCCAAATGGAAAAGCAAATAACTTAGGAACTGTGAGTCCAAATTACATGTGTGGTAAGTTATTTGAAAGCTAACATCTTTTAGTTTCTGAATATATACAGTAAAATCGGGTGAGTACAACACAGTCCAAGCTGCATCAGTTCAAACTT